CAAATCTTCATTTGCAGCCACGATTATTGTGTTGTGTGAACGATAACCGAAATCGAACACCACAGAAGCAAAACGATAACGGCATCTTTGAAATTTCGTGATTCTGAAATGTACAGCAAATGCGTCGAATTATTTCATGGATTCAAGGATGGTAAATGGTCCACGAAAGACAAGTTGGAACAGTATCGTGGAATCTTGAAGTTACACGGTTAGCGAATCGTTTATTTCTCGCATACGATTTTCTTCTTTCCGTATCGTTACGTTCCATGTATTCCACGTAGAGCGCTGTTCTTACATCGTAATTGAAATATATTTCTCGAATGGTATGTAGGTCGTGAAAAGAAGTTGCGATTGCAGGACGGTGTCAAATTAAAGAAGAAGATATCATGGCAATTAGGTTTGTTTCGAGAAGATGTGAAAAAGTACCGCCAACTCGTCAGCGACGTCGAAAGTCGAGCGCATAGAGTGTTACAGAATCGCATAGATCTACGGTTAAAGTGCCATGGTCGCGAAACCGAGGTTCGTTTCGCGTTTCGAGCAATAATGATTTTTCAATTGGCACTTTTTGAATCGTCGAGCACGCTTGAACGCCAACTGTTTCGATTCTAGCAGATTTACACGATTATTTCTGAGGATAATCATAGAAACCGCCGTCGACTGGATAAGCTTCGTTACGAGAAAAGAAGGAGAATGAAGCGTTGTTTCGAGTTGCAGGTATACGGGTACCTTATTCGCAATTAGTATGTCTTGTTGCGCGATATGGTGCGATAAACATATATGCGTGTATAACTTTGAGGAAAAATTTGTAATGCAGTTGGAACAAGCAAAATTATGCGACAGTTATACGCGAGAACGCGACATACCGTGGGTTCAGGCTGAAACGCACCAGCAGCAATTAATAGCGCGTTATCAACAGGCTATAGCGAAGCAAAACGCAGCGAAGGCGATCAACATAACGTACAGCTGTATGCTTGAAATTTTAAGACAGGTACGATACACGATCGTCTCTCGTCTACTTACTGGGATATCCCTATAGTTCCGGATAATAGTTCTCTCTCTCCCTCCCTCCCTCAGTCAGCATTTGTCGGAAAATTTATTCTCGTAGGACGCGGTGCACCACGACGCTTTGTTAGACTTGTTGAAACAAGATCGACGAAGTCAGTGCGAGGTGATACTTAAAGCAACGATAATGGGACAGCTCGCGATCGAAGAATCCGACGACATAGGGAAAAAATGTAAACGAATCACCCGAAAAGTTTGGAACAATATGAAGGAAAGGGAACGTACGTTGACGTTTGTTCGCGGGCAAGTTGAAGATTTATGGTCGTACGCGCAATCGTTGATACGAACCGAAGTAAGTTACGAGGATAACAAACGAACCGAGGAATACAAATTTTCCTTTATAAAGTCGCGATACTTGCACGCAACTTTACGAATAGTAGTTTGAAAAAAGAGAAGAAGCATCAGCGGAACTAACCGACACTGCGTATTCACCATATTGCGCGTATCACGACAGAGCGAAACAATGTTTACCGTGGAGGTGAGGCGCGCTTCGATGGCATCGAACGGATCACTAGAGAAGCAAATCAAATCTTTGGAAGAAATATTCGATAAAGTGAAAGAATCGTTGTTGGTGCGATCCTATCGGGAATTATTGTCGAGGTAGCAACGTTCATCTTCCGAATTATCCAAATTTTCCCGTTCAACTGGACGTGTTACGATTATGTATACGTAGCTAAATACTGGCCGTATCGTTCTTTAGATTGGAAGAACAAATGAAACAAAGGACACGATTACTCGAACAGTTCGATCGAAACGTGAAGGAACGCGAACTGTTGTTGACTCGGAAGAATGAAGCTTTATCCGGTCTCTCTGAAATCGAGCACTCTCTTGTCGCTCGCGTAGAAGAGTAAATACGCGTTTCGTTTGTTTCGAACGTTTCATTCCAGCTTCGTACCCAACGATATATCCTATTTTCGTGATATTACGATACTCGCATTCCTCCTTCCTCCGTTTGCAGATATAACGCGGATAGGGATGCGTTACTCGAACGAATCGCGATGCAACAGCAACGACGACTCGAACACAAGAATTTAAGAAAAGACCGTGGCGAATTGTTGATGAACATACGAGCAGCCCTACAAAACATGGTTGCTATGCTGATCTATGTAAGGAGGGGAACAGTTAAGACACCGAAAAAACAAACAGATAAAAAGTCCTCGAAGGAAGATAAGGATGACACGGAAGAATTGGAATCTGTTATCCCAACGATGGTTAAAGTTGACGCGGAAGGTAAAGATTCGTGCCACTGGATTAAGAATCCTATTTCTTTTATTTCTTGTCCCAGGTTTAGCGTTATTGTCGACTGTAAGCCGAAAAGTAGGAGCACTCTTTGGAATGAGTAATTTCGAGTTTGACAAGGACAGAGATGACAGAGCGAAAGACTTGTACCAAACTTACGTCTCCGACTATAATTCGAAATTGAAATTTAAAGACGAGAAAGCAGAAACTAGAGGTATGTCTTCGGTAGACGTTTCTCCTTTCTCCTTACGTGGCAGTCTTTCGTAGACGAACGAGCGAACAAATTGTTTTCTCTGTTATACAAAATTATATATTAGAAGATTTCGACGAAACTTTTAGGTTTTATCGTCGAGCATGAAGCGATTGATTCCTCGGTATTGACCAGGACCGAGATCAAATTAAGAAGCAGACAAGCTGTCGAAACTTACACGCGAATAGAATAAAATTCTGATTATGCGATAGTATTAATTTTTCTCTTCGAGGAATGCGTAAGGACTGACGATACTCGCTGAATTTCTATATGGTATGCACTCACAGTTTATTTACATAGGCCTATTAGCAAATATGTTATTTCATATCGTTGATTCGTCCGAATCCGAGACGTTCTCTTTTTATTTGCGTTTTCAACCATGAAGGTACGCTATCATCGATAGGGCAAGCATTGGGATACTTTAAAGGTGGCTTTGGTTCTCTGAAAGGATGAACATTCTTCAATTTTCTCAATAGAAAATATTTCATTGTCTCTTTCGGATCTCTGTAATAATCCAAATAAAGATTAAATGGCTGTTTCAATGGAAACCATTCCTGTGATCTCACGTATGGTTTTGGAAAGTTGTACTGAAATATCGGTTCCTCTGCGTCTGTGCAAAAAGAAAACGAGAGATCCTCTGGATTTGTTCTTGAGTGATTTCAATTTGATTATAGCAGAGACAAAGATGTAGACATACATACCTAACGACGAATGATAAAATTCTGTTACCGTAGGATCCCAATCGCTTTGAAAAAACGCTAACCCCGCGGGTGTAAGATTCTCTTGATGTTCCCGATAAAATTCTAGAGTATTCCAATCGCGTTCTTTCAAATCTAGACTACAATAGAAAAGCGTGAACGATGTATCGCGTATCGAATATATTTCATATGTTCTCCTTGAAAATTCATTATTTACCATGGTTGAGTTTTTTTATATTTTGTATAGTCCAAAGGTTGGTTTTGCTTGTACAGCACAAATATGTATCGGTAATAACCAATTCCTCTGGATGGAATTGGTTTTAAATAATCCACTATTTGTTCACCGTGTTCCACTTTGTTTCCAGGAATGTTTCCCCTGAGAAGCAGGAAGCGTGACACACCTTTGTTCTTGTGAAATGGTTATTTACAATGTTAAAATAAATTAATCGCAAACTCACAGAAACCAATGACAGTACTCGTTATTTGAATTTTGCAAGTTACCATCGGGAGTACTCATTATTAAAGTCCATAAAGTATCTGTTTTTGTTTCATAATTAACAATTGGGTGTTGTCGTGCCTCGTTAGGTTTTATAACATTCCCTGTAAAAACTCTGACAAATGTATCATCCTCGATTCTATAATCTACTTCTAACGGTACAACAGGTTTGAAGTATGCGTATCCGAATAAATGTTGGAAGACTCCGTAGTGTTCAGCAATTTTATGTAAATGTAAAGGTCTCACTGTTTTTGTCCATATATCCTTTACTTGATTTAAATCGACGGATACTACAGGAAATTAAAACAATTTTACTGTTATAAAATTATATGTAAAACTATTATGTATACACGTGAAATATATGAAAAGTTTCGACAGGAAAAGGTCTGCTTACGTAATTTATACCGTGCCTGTTTCTCCATTTCAGGATTTGCCCTTATGACCCTGTGTTCAGCCATCCAACTTTGTTGGAGTTTTTTCGATAATTTTGGTACAGCGAAACCAATGTCCACCTTGCGTGATATCAATGGGTCTGTTTTCTTAAGAGCTGAAACAGAACTATTAGAAAAGAATTTGTACAATGACCATTGCGTTTTCCTTACATTCGAGTCGCTGTTTTAACGTGCGAGCAATCGTAGGTGGTTTTCCTCGTATATGATGTCCATGTCGAACTTGTTCAATACGAATTTTCGGGGATGTTGGAGAAAAATCGTTTGTAAAAATTCGAAATAATCTGGTAGCCATGACAAGATAATTTCAAACGAATCTTATAAAATACACACGTTTGATCATTGATGCGTTTACCAACAAGAAATCGTACAATCGATCGTTTGCGTCTCTAAAGAAATTTAAACGAAGAGGTTAGAATTCAGACTGCTTCACTTAATCGTGTATTTACTTATTAACATGTACATACCTAATGCAAACAATCTGAAAATACGCAATAGATTTTTTATTCAAATGAAAAAGTGTTTATTACTCTATATAAATGATGATCGCCCAACGAGTACCGATCATAGAACGTGTATCGTCCGAACTATAAGCGATGAAACCGTAAGGTAAACACTGTTTACTAAATGGATAATGATTTACCGAAATGTATGACAAATGATTTACAGGAAAATGCAGACATTCTTATCACTTTTACAGTTCAAGCTATATAACAAATTGGTGACAGCATTAGATTTTACTACTCAAAGGTAATATCTATTAACATTGCAGACCGTTTTTCATATCGACTTGCAGATGCTTGGACCCTAATAATGAGATCGGAAGAAGTAATAATAATAATAATAGTAAGTTGCAACAGCAACGACACAACAACAGTAGTAACAATTTCTATGGTGTTTAGTGAAACGTGTTAATCATCGCTTGAAAATGCAAGGAAAATTGCATTTTTTTATTAGATTGTATTTATGATATTGCTCTTTATCCATGAATCTGTACTTTTAAAACTTGTACTAATAAAACTGTATTTGTATGAAAATGGAGAGATTTGTGTGTACGATTTTAGAAATGTTTGTCCCGTAAAAGATAAAAAATGTTGTGCTGCCATCAGACGACAGCGACTCGTATTGGCATCTATTTCATACGTTGATGTTCAAACGAAGAGGTCGTTGAAAAGTTCCTGCTCTGTACGAACATGGCAGACTGCCATTGGCAGATAGCAGTTTTGCGGTTTCGCACTCGTCGCGACTGCAAAAGTTTTAATGTTGAAGAACGAAGGATATGAGCCGTAGTACTTCTATTAGAACGAATGTGTGCATGCTGCAAAGAAGAAAATCGAAACGTTCGAAGTTTCTTCAAATTGATCTTTAACGGGTAAGCGAAACGGTTTTCATTTCGATTCAACCCTGTACTCTTCGATTTGTCGTGATTCGTGGTTTACACAGACGTATATTGTAGGAGGATACGTAAACTGAGAAAAAAAAAACAGAGAGGACAATTTGTTCTTGTCGCATGAAATAAAGCGAGCAAATCTTTACTCGATACATTATTCTTGCACGTAAAATTGTTTACCGAAAGGCGCATAAAAAATATCTACTTTTATAACGATGCTGTGACAGTGGTAATGGTTGTGTGGTTGAAGTAGGGATCAGGACTACAATGGATGTAACGATAGCCTTTATATCCAGTTTGCATCTGTCGTTCCTTTTTAAATAATTCTCGTCAAACGGTTCGTTATATTTTTCCGAAACATATTAACAACATCAATGATTCGTCGATCCAACGTACATTCCCTAAATGAATATATTTTGTAAAATTTCCTTTTTTCGTATTCGTTTAACTCAATGAGATAGATGTATATGATCGCGTGTTACATTTCTACAAATAATGTACGAAATTTGATCAGACTTTGCGTAAATATTCCTAGATATTATCGAATATATAATTTCATGAAATTTATAAGATCAACCGAACACTAATATGAAAGATTAGTAGACCTTTCAGGCAGAATATTTCGATATAATTATCTGAAATTGACATGTCCTTTTGTAGACTGATTTATGAATTAGATGTTCATACGTGATTTGGCAGTGTTTTAACAACGGCGACATCGACATTTCTGTCTAGTTACGGTTCGATCGAAAAAGAATACAGGAAATGGATGGAACTAGAGCGGCCGATGTTTTACCATTGCTTCAAGAACGTCTGGCCATATTACCGGGTGGTCGAGATCGAAGAGGCGGACCAGTACTTATCTTTCCTACAACTCCTAGGCGAGAACGTGCAAAACCTGAAGATTATCGTCGCTTGTTACAATACCTTTTGACTGTACCCAGCGAAGAGGCGAGGGGTTTACGTTTCACAGTGATTGTGGACATGCGTGGTGCTACTTGGGACTCTGTAAAGCCCATTCTCAAGGTTGTATTTTAATACGTTTGGAAATTTTATAAACTGTAGTACCTGAAAAATCGCTACTAAATGCCGAAAAGAAACTGTATTCGTTTTTAATACAACTTGCTCTGTATTATGTTTGAAAGAAATAATTATTAGATCATTTTAACGGTCCATATGAAAATCTGTTCAAGGTGTTGCACGAGCACTTTCATCGATCAGTTTACGTCGCCTTTATTATAAAACCAGAAAATTTTTGGCAAAAGCAGCGAACCACCTTGGCTAAACAGAAGAAATATAATTTTGAGGTAACAAAGGTTTATGTAAAGGAAAAAACTATCGATTAACGACGATAGAAAGATACGATAGAGATTTTTCTGTACGTAGATAAACACCATAAGTTTAGAGGCTCTAGGGAAAGCGATAGACCCGTCGCAGTTGACTGCGGATTTGGACGGATCCTTGCAATACGACCATGCCCAGTGGATCGATACGCGACTCGTAGTAGAAGACTTTACGTGGCAAGCAGCGGATCTTCTCGATCGATTGGATGATCTACAAGAAGATTTGAGTCGTAACGATTTTGCGGATGACGTGGCTGGAGCTAAACACGGAATCGATTTACACAATGAAATGAAAAAGAAAATTATGAAAGTTCCGGTGGAAGAAATCGAAGTCGTTGGTCAACGGCTACTGCAACGTTTCGATAACAGTAAAAGTTTGATCACTCGTAGCTTAGATATTTCTTAGATATTAATTGGATGAACTGTTGTGCAGACACGCGCGCGCACACACACACGCACACACACACACGTTGTTGTTATTGTTGTCAGGTATGGCCACGACTAGTAGCGAAGGGGGTAGCATCGAGAGCGGTGCCATTGGCGGTACTGATTCCGATGGACGAGCGGCAGCCTTGGTTATTCAGCACTTGGATTCCGTGCACGCGGCGCAGCAACATCTGCTGCAATTGTGGCATATTAAAAAAATGAAGCTGGATCAATGTTTCCAGCTGAGACTTTTCGAACAAGATTGCGAAAAGATGTTTGATTGGATTTGTCACAACAGAGAAGGATTTCTGGCAAATTACGTCGAGATTGGTCGATCTTATCAGCTAGCCAAGAATTTGCAGGAGGAACATAAGCACTTTACGATGAGTTCGATGAACGTTTACGTGAACGTTAATAAAATTCTGACGATGGCCAGTCGTCTGCTAGAAACGCAACATTACGCTGCCGGGCACGTTAGAGCGGTGGCCGGTCGACTGGATCGAGCTTGGAAAGAGTTCGCTGCGGGTCTCGACGAGCGAACCGCGGTTCTTAGTTTGAGCGTTGTTTTCCATCATAAGGCCGAGCAGTATGTCGACAGCGTTGCGGGATGGAGTCAAGCTTGCGACGCTGGAAATTTGCCTAACGAAATACCGATCTTAGAATCCCATATACGACAACATCAGTCGCTTTACGAGGCGATGTGTCAAGCTTATACAGAGGTAATTTTCTTCCTTAAACGATAGAGCGACGATTTACGTGACTGCTTTAGACGTACCAACAGAGATCAAGAGAAATCAATTTAATTCGCGAGTCGATTTGTTTCGAGTATTGCAGTAACACGGTCTTGGACAGGACCTGGATACATTATTTTTGTACGAACGCGATATACAGGATACTTGGTAGTAATAAAAGATAATATTTGACAGGTATACGATGCGTATCAAGCGCTTTTGAGCGGACTAGGCTCGATGCTGCAAGTTTGTCACAGCTTGAGTTCGATACGCGGTCCAAACTCGGATACATTTTGCATCGATTATGTACGAAACAATTAGTAACTGTTACTTTTCTAGCTTTTAACCGGTGGACGTGCGCTTGGTATACGGGTACGATAAAAAAAAGTATCTCGGAGAATTTAGGGGTGGTTAGTAGAACTAGCGAGAATTAACTCTTTCGAATAAAAGTACGGATCAAGGACGCGTGCACGCCCATCGGTGGTTCCCTCGAGGTGGACGATTATTGTATTTTTGTTTTCCTATCGCGTAAATCCACGTGCTCGAGAATATTAATATTTTTAACGACGTACATTATGAAATGCGTAGCAAATGTTTAACACGGTTTTGGGTAATCCTATTGTTTAGGTACATAGTACCAGTAAGAAGCTTCTTTATCAACTGGATCATCTCGTGCAAGTCTGTAACCAACCACAAGGAATAGACCATACAGCCAGAAAACATGTACGTCCACTGGTGTGCATGAGTGTACATGTTCGTATTTGCGCGAATTAGCATGTATTTTCTCATTTATCTTGCGTAGCTGAACGTTCGCGGACACGCTTCGATGAAACAATAATAGATAGATTGCATGTTTATTCGGTTGCTTGAAGCAATTCGCGCTTAAGTCAATTGCTTTGATTATACGATATTTACGGATTCGACGACGAAGCGGTTTGTCGGTACTGTTCTCGCGACGATGCATGACGACTCGAAGAAAGATAAGTAGATTGTTCGCTTCGAGAAACAGGATTCGAACGGTCGCACGAGTAAGATGCTCGATTTGTTTAGAGCCAAGATGGGCATGGAATTGACGGACATTCCGGTATGAGCGGAAATCCAGCTGCGGACTACAGCGAGGGCGCGTCGCACGTGTTGGCGGTTATTCATCAAATCCTGGGTCATCACAGGGCACTGGAAGCTCGTTGGCACGCTCGAAAAGTGAAATTGCATCAACGTCTGGCTTTAAGGTACGTTTCACCGATCGTTCGTCGTTGGTTCGATTCGGTTCGTTTGCGTGTTCTCGTTACGGTTGCACACGTCTCTCGGTATTGTTTGCAGGTTGTTTCAAGAAGATGTGAAGCAAGTTTTGGATTGGTTGACGAATCATGGCGAAGTATTCATTCGGAAAAACACGGGAGTAGGTCGGAATCTTCAAAAGGCTAGAGTATATCAAAAGAGCCACGAGCATTTCGAGAACGTCGCACAGGTATTCGGTTCGATTGCTCGACCGCGTTGCATTCGCGAACAAATGGATTACGATCGTTTATGTTTTCCCTTTAAACAGAACACGTACACGAACGCTACCAAGTTGCTTACCGCCGCTCAAGAATTAGCGCACACGGGAGAATGCGCTGCTGATGAGATATACACAGTTGCGCAGGAACTGGAAGCGCACGTTAGCAGTTTCGCGGCTCGGGTTGAACAGCGCCGACGAAGACTGGACCTGGCGGTTGTATTTTATACTCACGAGAAAGAGGTAATCACGTTTTGTGTAATCTCAAAGTCGAGAAATGTGACGGCGCACGATTGTTTCGGTAGTTGAGCGGTTGGGTGGACGAACTGCGACAAGAGTTGCAGCAGGATGAAGTGGCGGAGAATCTAGAGACAGCAGAAAGGCTATTAGATCAGTGTGCGCAACATAGGGCATCCTGCTTGGAAGCTTGCACGTCTACCATTGTGCAAGGCGAGGCGTTGCTGCGAGAGCTTCGAGAATCTACCGATGCCCCTGACAGTACTGGTTCGGTAAGCATTCTTCCGTATTAACTTGCTAATAACTGGTTAATTTCACTTGAACGCGAAACAGCAAACAACGCGCATGCATGTAAGAGCAGAGACAAGAGGGAGCAGCTCGAGTGCTTCGAAACTACATACGTATAATGTTACAGATCACTGCGGTGGAAGCTGCGCTCGACAGGCTGGCTGGTTTGAGACAGGAATTGGAAGATTTATGGGCTACCAGGAAACTGAGACTCGAGCTTTGTTTGCGATTACGCGTTTTCGAAAGGGACGCTCTGGAAGCGAGCGGTCAGTTGGAAATGTGGGCTCAAGAACTGCAAGGACCACCTCGAGAAGGATCACCGGAGCAACTGTTACGCGTGCACAACGATGGCGTTGCTCACATGCAGAACACTGCTTTTCAGGTTCTACAACAAGGCCAAGAACTCGCCCAAGTAAGAATCGATCGGAACATTCGAGGGATGGAAATGTTGAATACTTTAAACGGGACTGAATTGTTCTCGACATAGGTACTGGAACAATCTGGAGTATGTATAATGGCAGATGGTCAGCACAGCGCCGCATCTAGAGTTCAAGTGCTACTCGAGTTTTTGAACGAAAGGGAAATGGATGCGGAAGATTTGGCGGAAATGCGGAGAGTTCGCCTAGAACAGGCTTCGCAATTGGTACAGTTGCAAACGGACGCCACTCACGTAGCCAATTGGATTCGTAACGGAGAGGCGATGCTGTTGGCTTCGTTGAGAGTTCCAGAGAACTTGCAAGACGCTGACCAACTTCGTTTAGAACACGAACAGTTTCAAGTTGCTATAGAAAAAACTCATACCTCGGCTGTTCAAGTAAATAAGAATAAGTTTTTTTTCGTGACACATAGGTGCCGTGTATTCCAAGTAACCGTTGTCGTTGCTGTTGCCGTTGCCGTTGCCGTTGGCGTTCCAGTTGGATAATATAGTGCGTTTGTTTGATAGGTGAAGCACAGAGCAGACGCTTTGGTGAGCGCGAATCATTACGATCCGAAGAGTATAAGAGAGGTTGCTGAAGATGTAACCAAGAGATGGCAACAGTTGGTCACGTGCGCCGAGGAGAGACACAAATTAGTGACAGCTAGTATAAATTTTTACAAAACCGCGGAACAAGTACGTTCTGTATTAGATAGCCTTGAACGCGAATACAAAAGAGACGAAGATTGGTGTGCGTCTGGAGAAAAAGCCGCGCAAGTGCCAACACTGGTTGGTAAACACCAGGAACAGAAAGAAGCATTTTTGAAAGCGTGTACTTTGGTGCGGCGAACTGCGGAAACATTCCTGAAATATACGAATCGCAGCCTACAATTTTATAGTTATCAGTCGAACAGTGCTGGTTCCGAGAATAAGGTTAAAAGTTAGTTTCACTTTATTTATTATATATATATATATATATATATATATATATATATATATATATATATA